AATTATTTTATAAAAACGTCAATTTTGCGATTTAGTATTCTCTGGTGTTGGGCCATGCCTTGGGTTGTGGAGCTCAGTTCTGCTTCCTATAGGTATAAATTGTGCATTAGGCTAGTTTTAAAGTTGAAAATCGAAAAGTTGCACACGTGGGGACACGCCCAAATTGATAGAAAATTGCTAAAATCACTGAAAATTGCTGTTTTCGTCATTTTCTGTCAACTTTAGAGTGCCGTTGTGATTACAGTTCTTCTTGAAATACTTTGAAACTTTGCATGCTTATCAAGCTATATATAAAACAATTACATGCAAAAATTTATGGCAATTCAATATTGGATGCGCACGCAACGTTCGCTCAAAGTTTGCACGTGCGAAAGGTGAGAATTTTGCTCATTCGTGATTTCCAACAAATTCTGCTTTGCCACGACAGTTTAATGTCATTATATATGAATTTAATGCCAACTTGAATGAGTATTAAATGGCATATTCAGTCAGTGATCGACCGAAATGCTTCCCTAAACACAAGGAAATGTTTTTAAAGGAAAAAATTTCGAAATTGTTGAAACCTCCTCCTTATTAATGAAGATATCAGTTTATATTTCGACTTTATAAAGTACCCTGACATTATAATCAAAAAGAGATGATATTTTACCAAAACTCATAATCATGGGTAGAGTGGACCGCTGTCAGTGTCTCTCTTTCCCAAACAAAAGGAAATGATATTACTTTGATTGACCGTTCTCAAATGCAAAATGATACCGAGAATGAAATCGGTCGCTCGCTTTTCCCATTCATTTACAATTGTAATAGATTAAGAAGAACTACCCAAAGGCAGATGTACTCGGCAATGAAGATTCAATAAACTTCAGCTAATTCAATAAGTAATACTAATAAATACCGCCCTTACCCCGAAATACTAGGTATCGACCCGAACGCAACCCAAAAAGATTTTTACAGCATCTGATTGATGTAATAAATCGAAACTTATTACAATTCGTAAGCCGTGAATGAATGGGAAAAGCGAGCGACCGATTTCATTCTCGGTATCATTTTGCATTTGAGAACGGTCAATCAAAGTAATATCATTTCCTTTTGTTTGGGAAAGAGAGACACTGACAGCGGTCCACTCTACCCATGATTATGGGTTTTGGTAAAATAACTGTAATACATTGATGTAAAGTTTATTTGAATTTTGAAATAAAAACAACAAGATACAAGATGTCCTGAGGTGCTTAATGCTTATCTCCTTTTCAGTAACCCTAAGCCACTCAGTGTCGAGGCACTATACTAGCTGTAGGGGGGTTAGTCCTACGAGCATGGTAGTGATACTGATTGCCTATCTTTCCCATTTCCAAGTTGAAGTACTCGATATCGTAAAATACTGGGAACCATTTATACAGTTTAATCTATCTCAAATGTGCGCGATTCATTTAGCCGTATACAACATCTATCTGGTCTTTATTTTGTATTTTGTAATAAACTATTCTATATAACGCGTTACAGTTTACAGTTAACGCGTTACAGTTAACGCAAACGAGTGGTTTCTATCAGCGTTTAAAATCTCGGAACAGGCATATTCCTCATACTGTACTGCTTCTCAAAATAATACGAGCGTCGTTTTCTGGCAGCTTGTATTTTGTCGGAGCAGCACCATTCTATTTGTCCGAAACCAACGTGATGTCAGCTCGAGACTAAGAGATATTTTTAGTTTTACTATCATACAGCTTGAGCTTATAATCTCGCAGTAAAGTGCAAGATACGCCTCAGTATTCAGCAACGTATGAGACCTAAAGTTGCTACCTTCCGCAGGTTGATAACCCTTTAACTTTAAGAGACTGACATGTGTGAGGTAGAAAATGCTTTTGGCAACTTGGTCGTTTAGCTCCGGACAGTCTATGCAACGTCTATGCAACGTCCATGCAACAACAAAAGAACCGTCTATGCAACGTCTATGCAACGTCCCTGCACAATGAACACTCTATGCACACTCCCTGCACGGTCAGTCTATGCAACGTCTATGCAACGTCTATGCAACGTCTATGCAACGTCCCTGCACAGTACCATATGAACACCGGCTACTAGCCGGCTACTAGCCGGCTAGTAGCCACTTTTGTAATAACAGCTCCTCAACTTCACATTACCAACCGGCTACTAACCGGCACTTGAAAAGTGGTCACTAGCCGGCTACTAGCCGGCTAGTGACCACAAAGTGGCTACTAACCGGCTACTAAGCGGTCACTAGCCGGCTATTAGCCGAGCTCTAAAGCAGACCTTCTAGTTCCAAACCGGCTACTAGCCGACACTTGAAAAGCGGTCACTAGCCGGCTACTAACCGGCTACTAACCGGCTAGTAGCCACTTGGTGGTTACTAGCCGGTTAGTAGCCGGCTAGTGACCGCTTTTCAAGTGCCGGCTAGTAGCCGGTTTAGAACCGGCTACTAATAGGTCTGCTTTAGAGCTCGGCTAATAGCCGGCTAGTGACCGCTTAGTAGCCGGTTAGTAGCCACTTTGTGGTCACTAGCCGGCTAGTAGCCGGTTAGTAGCCGGCTAGTGACCACTTTTCAAGTGCCGGTTAGTAGCCGGTTGTTAATGTGAAGTTGAGGAGCTGTTATTACAGCTGTTATTACAAAAGTGGCTACTAGCCGGCTAGTAGCCGGCTAGTAGCCGGTGTTCATATGGTACTGTGCAGGGACGTTGCATAGACGTTGCATAGACTGACCGTGCAGGGAGTGTGCATAGAGTGTTCATTGTGCAGGGACGTTGCATAGACGTTGCATAGACGGTTCTTTTGTTGTTGCACGGACGTTGCATAGACGTTGCATAGACTGTCCGGAGCTAAACGACCAACTTCCCATGCTTTTAAGCTTTTATTATCGTTATTTACCTGCGCGTGACCATGTTTACTCCATAATGCGTTGTTTTAGCCAGCCATTTAAATAGAAGCAATTTTAACTTGAGGACTTGGCACAGGATTCAGGTCGAATTTAACTTGAGGACTGGGCACAGGATTCGAATTTAACGTTTTGCTGTGGATCTAACTCAACTTAGTACTGACATTGTGTTGATTGTACTCTGAATGTGAAAAACATATTGGATATTTTTCGCAACAATTTCACGTCCATGCTTTATAAATTAGCTGTCGTGTTATTTGCGAATTATCACGTGTAAAATAATGCACATGTTGTTCTGGCTCGTGTACAATAATGTACATGTTGTTCTGGCTCGTGTACAATAATGTACATGTTGTTATTTTTATATCACAATTATTTACGTTTTCCTTTACAAACGTAGTCTCATCCAGTGAATTTATTGTGACAGCTGCAGAAGTGAAATTCTCTATCCAGACAATTGTCTAGATATAGTTTCTGTTGGGGGTGGATGCCTTTAGATACCCTTTTCGGTATAATGAAGTTCGTCCATTTCTACTATTACAGAATATGGTGTGATATAGTACCACCACAGAAACTGTGCTGATGTTAGCTTAGCACCTGGTGCACTGCTAGCACAGTTCCACACCGCCCCGTACTGCCGGTCCTTTGAGTGGGGAATAACGGCCTGTCTGATCGAATACAGTCCATCTGATTCAGTCACGATGATATACCTCTCGTCTGATTCTGTTTCAGATCGCACCTTTTATTTGTGTAGTATTAGTCAGGTACGCTAACAATATGACAGTGCGTTTGACCCATGTTTTCACCACCCATGTTCACGTTTTAAGTGACGAGGTTTCGCCTAATTAACGGGATCTATTTACCGGATCACCTTTTTACCGACAAGGTTTAGTTTCACAGACCCGGTAAATCAAATTCTTGTTTAATTGCATGGCGTATTATATATTAAATATACTATGCAGTATCAAATGACGGAGTATTTCGCTGTTTATTAGTCTCATGATTGAAAAACTGATAGTTGGATAATATCCGGTTGGAAGAGACAAGGACAAATGAGACAGGAAGTTAGGAATGTAGGCAAATTTTCGGTGTCAACACCATCTTCAGGCTCAAATTATTTGTTATATAGTAGTGTTGAAAGTATAAATATAAAACAATATGCAGTGTTTTATATTTTATTGCATTTTATACCATTTTATACCATCTATCTTGATCGATTTGCACTCGCCTCTGGCTTTAGAGTGACATTATGGTTTTCTCTCCTATTTGGATTTCGGACTTTGGATTTATTTTGTAGCAACGCCGATCTAACGTTATTATACTGTAATATATAGATCTATCTTTGTAAACCTTGTAAACCTTGTAAACCTTGTAAACCTTGTACCATTTATCTCTGCAACTGATAAAACTGTTTGCAGACCACGAAAAGTTCAAATATCTTCTAGTCGAGCAGTGAAAGTAATCGACCCCTGCACTCTTCAGTTGCCAGTCTTGTGATACCTTTCTATGATTGACATAGTATCGACGTAGTATCATTGAATTCATTAATATCCTCTCCTATACCAATTTGTCTTATTAATCGACATGTGAGACGGTCGCGGTCGTTGTTCTGTAGGATTGATTTTATAGACTAGTACTTATACTAATAGAGATGCGGTCTTATCCAGGACCTATGTGATTTAGCGTGGAATATTATAACTGAATATTATGGAATATTATGAGTTTCGGCGACGTTCAACTCTCCCGGTCCAATGTCCTCGTGGAACTAAAAATTCCTTTATTTTATCACTCCTTTGTTTTCTGTTGGTATTTTTGTGAACAATTGCTTTACTATACCAATTATGTCAGCTTGTAAGGCATCGTCTTTGTTTTCGGAACCTTTAACTCAAGCTTTTCCGCATTAATATCTGTTTTTTGTCAAATTAGTTGTATTGTCGTTTCCAACAGCCAATTTTCATAAATTGGATTTCATAAATTCAGCTGATATTTATTATTCTCTCAGTTTCGTAATAATTTTTACCACTAGTTTTTCCAAGAAAACTAATATATAAAATTTGGTTTAAAACTTAAAAATAACACGTTACTCTATCATTCTTTAACTTGCACTTCTCGTAGAGGAAGGATTAGAACTCAGGTAGGGATTGACTCCCTCTGATACTCTCCTACCATGGCGGACACTATTCCGGAGCTAGCGGACACTGTTCCGGAGCTAGCGGACACTGTTACCGTGCCAGGGATTATTGACAGTAACTGGACCGGCTCTTACCCCACCCCTAACTACACAAGCATTGTTATGATGCACTACACTGTCAAACAACTTACTGTTCTCAAGGTACCACCAATCATGTCTCAACAACCTTTTATTTTAAATCTCCAAAATCGGGTTTAACTTTAAGAACTTATGGGAAAATGGTTTGCTTTTAGACTTGAAGAATGTTAACATTTTGTCTCCTGCAGGTGGCGACCCTACTCCTGTCAGTGCTGGGACTAATAGGGAACTTACTGGTTGTCCTGGTGATCCTGTCCAGGAGGAGGTGGAGGTTCGCTAACAGCATGTTCGTCCTCAACATTGCTATAGCTAACCTCTTTATCTGCGCCTTTACCCTGCCTCTCATGACTAGAGCTCTCTTTGAGATAGAGTGAGTTTTGTTACTTTGTCCTCAACATTGCTATAGCTAACCTCTTTATCTGCGCCTTTACCCTGCCTCTCATGACTAGAGCTCTCTTTGAGATAGAGTGAGTTTTGTTACTTTGTCCTCAACATTGCTATAGCTAACCTCTTTATCTGCGCCTTTACCCTGCCTCTCATGACTAGAGCTCTCTTTGAGATAGAGTGAGTTTTGTTACTTTGTCCTCAACATTGCTATAGCTAACCTCTTTATCTGCGCCTTTACCCTGCCTCTCATGACTAGAGCTCTCTTTGAGATAGAGTGAGTTTTGTTACTTTGTCCTCAACATTGCTATAGCTAACCTCTTTATCTGCGCCTTTACCCTGCCTCTCATGACTAGAGCTCTCTTTGAGATAGAGTGAGTTTTGTTACTTTGTCCTCAACATTGCTATAGCTAACCTCTTTATCTGCGCCTTTACCCTGCCTCTCATGACTAGAGCTCTCTTTGAGATAGAGTGAGTTTTGTTACTTTGTCCTCAACATTGCTATAGCTAACCTCTTTATCTGCGCCTTTACCCTGCCTCTCATGACTAGAGCTCTCTTTGAGATAGAGTGAGTTTTGTTACTTTGTCCTCAACATTGCTATAGCTAACCTCTTTATCTGCGCCTTTACCCTGCCTCTCATGACTAGAGCTCTCTTTGAGATAGAGTGAGTTTTGTTACTTTGTCCTCAACATTGCTATAGCTAACCTCTTTATCTGCGCCTTTACCCTGCCTCTCATGACTAGAGCTCTCTTTGAGATAGAGTGAGTTTTGTTACTTTGTCCTCAACATTGCTATAGCTAACCTCTTTATCTGCGCCTTTACCCTGCCTCTCATGACTAGAGCTCTCTTTGAGATAGAGTGAGTTTTGTTACTTTGTCCTCAACATTGCTATAGCTAACCTCTTTATCTGCGCCTTTACCCTGCCTCTCATGACTAGAGCTCTCTTTGAGATAGAGTGAGTTTTGTTACTTTGTCCTCAACATTGCTATAGCTAACCTCTTTATCTGCGCCTTTACCCTGCCCCTCATGACTAGAGCTCTCTTTCAGGTAATAATAACAGGAACCCGTATAACCCTAAAATGGTTTCAAGACTCAAGAGACTAAAATAATTATTTCCTATTTAATTCGCGTTTTTGACACCACTTGGGGGTCCAAATTTTGGGCTCTAAAACTCCTATTCCTTGGCCAATTTTTTATTTTTTCATGCTGTCTTGAAAAGCATAAAAGCATTTGACCCAGTCAAAAAAGTTTCAGTTGTATATCTTTTACGGTTTTTGCGGAAAGTCGCGTTAAAGTTGATGCCGTGGTGTCAGTAAAATGGCACAGATAAATATATATATATCGTCTCGCTTTATAATTATATATAGTACTAAGATGTAATTATAAATATAAATATAATTATAATTACACAGCAATGCGATAAGAGTATTAAATAATTTAAAGAAGGTGTTTGGTGTAATAAGTTATAAACGCTCACAAGACCATATTTATACGTGAAATCACTGAGGGGTTTATAATATCTGTCTAAAAGTTCCAAATGGAATTTATACCTCTAGATAAAGTTAGACAGTTCTTTAATTGAGTTGAAGCTGTCAACAAAGTGGCGATATATCTGTTTTCTAGAAGTTACCATGGTAACCTACCAGTACCATAGTTGCCATGGTAACCTACCATAGTTACCAGACCATTAGGCTAACAAGTTCTGCGGAATTTCTAAATTACCAAAACCCTGGTTAATTTGAAAATCTGGTAAAATTAAATCATTAATTGGTAATTAATTAAGTATAATTATTAAGTTATTACCACCGACAACCCGAGGAGAATTAATTAGAAATTCAGAGGATGTCGTTAGCTCGACACGCTCTAATATGCCGCTGTGCTATGACCTTAAAATCAATAAATCAATATATCCGGGGCAACGTTTTATCGTAAGCTTCGAAAGAACATTCGAACAAGAACATTGCAGTATTTAATGCACTCTGTAATCTCAAATTAGCGGGTCAACGAGGGTAACTTTCAGGTTTTACACTCAAACACGCTTTTTGAAATCCCCTTTGTCTAAGTGACTTAAATAAGACCGCAGCGGACATCTCCTTAACATTTTACATTGCATTGTATAACGTACGTATTTACTACGTAACACTTAAAATTCACGTCGTAAACAAACAGGAATTAAACTTTAAAACTTTAAACATGAAATGACCAAGGAGAACACTATAGTATAACGTGTTTACTACGTATTATAACACCACTCTCCGACTTATTTATTTATTCATTTAATTAACTGTCTCTCTTGCAGGGTGATGGACAAATAATGTAACGATTTTTTTAAATGATTGACAATTTCATGAAGGAGCACTTGTTGTGTTTACTACGTAATATAACGACTGATTTGAATGTCCTGCACAGCAGATCGAAGCATCTCTAAATTATTTACTATTTTTATTATATTGCTGTGTAAACTTGATTCTAATTCTAATAACTCCGTATCCAGGCTGGAACTCGTACATCTACTCGCCGGTCACCTTCACCTGTGGTATAGACACGAACAAACCAGGAGCTCACAGCTATTACTTCCTGGTGTACCTCACAGTGGTGTTACCCGGTCCCCTTATAATCAGTACTGTGTGTTACACCTACATCCTCTTCTATCTTAGGTAATTGTGCTAGTCACGTGTTAAGTTGTTAGTCACGTGTTAAGTTGTTAGTCACGTGTTAAGTTGTTAGTCACGTGTTAAGTTGTTAGTCACGTGTTACGTTGTTAGTCACGTGTTACATCCTCTTCTATCTTAGGTAATTGTGCTGGTTAGCGGATAGTATGGTGATTTAGTGGTGAAATATTTAATATAGTAATATATTATAGTGTTATTAATAAGTAAATAGTGGATGAATAATAAATATTATATCTTATTTCTGACGGGGGTACCACCTGAGATCGTTAGTTCTGACCGGAGAGTGAATTACCTTTGCTAATTTGTTACAGGGTACACTATAACTTGAAGCCTCAAGTGTTAAACAGAATGGCCATGAACAAGAAAACAGAAAAACCCAAGAATCCATCTGCATCGGGCGATCAGAGCAATTCCGAGAAACAGCCCGAAAATACCGATATATTTGGTTCGAACATGTAAGAATAACAGTGCTGTGCATGTTACTCTAAGTCTTTGCATGTTACTCTGAGTCTGTGCAGGTTACTCTGAGTCTGTGCAGGTTACTCTGAGTCTGTACATGTTACTCTGAGTCTGTGCATGTTACTCTGACTCTGTACAGGTTACTCTGAGTCTGTGCAGGTTACTCTGAGTCTGTGCATGTTACTCTGAGTCTGCACAGGTTACTCTGAGTCTGTGTATGTTACTCTGAGTCTGTGTATGTTACTCTGAGTCTGTGTAGGTTACTCTGAGTCTGTGCATGTTACTCTGAGTCTGTGCATGTTACTCTGAGTCTGTGCAGGTTACTCTGAGTCTGTGCATGTTACTCTAAGTCTGTGCATGTTCCTCTGAGTCTGTACAGGTTACTCTGAGTCTGTGCATGTTACTCTGAGTCTGTGCAGGTTACTCTGAGTCTGTGCATGTTACTCTGAGTCTGTGCATGTTACTCTGAGTCTGTACAGGTTACTCTGAGTCTGTACAGGTTATTCTGAGTATGTGCAGATTACTTTGAAACTGTGCATGTTACTCTGAGTCTGTGCATGTTACTCTGAGTCTGTGCATGTTACTCTGAGTCTGTACAGGTTACTCTGAGTCTGTGCATGTTACTCTGAGTCTGTGCATGTTACTCTGAGTCTGTGCAGGTTACTCTGAGTCTGTGCATGTTACTCTGAGTCTGTGCAGGTTACTCTGAGTCTGTGCATGTTACTCTGAGTCTGTGCAGGTTACTCTGAGTCTGTGCATGTTACTCTGAGTCTGTACATGTTACTCTGAGTCTGTACAGGTTACTCTGAGTCTGTGCATGTTACTCTGAGTCTGTGCAGGTTACTCTGAGTCTTTGCAGGTTACTCTGAGTCTGTGCAAATTACTCTGAGTCTGTGTAGGTTATTCTGAGTCTGTGCAGGTTACTTTGAGTCTGTGCAATGGTCTCTAAACTATTAGCTCATTATATGCTCTCTTAGCTGCTTATAATGGAAGACTAAACTGATAAATTGACTGCTTTGCTGATAATATAGCTTTGTTGTAATTCCCTCCGCTCTTCGTGCTCTTTTGCTGCTGCATGATCTGCTTCCTGCCCTGATCGATTTTTTCCTTTTCATCCTTTTGAAAAAAGGCAATAGTGAAAGGTTATGAATGGATGTTTTTGCAGAAAAACGTGGATTTTGGAGAACGAGATAGGTGGGTTTAAATATGTCGTGTGTTCGTTCGTTACCATGCAACGAAAAAGTTGGGCGCGCGCGAGGATTGCTTGCGGAGATGTGATGTATAGATAGCCTGTGATCTATGAATGCGCGGCGCGACTGTGTATATGATGCATGTAATGTATAATATTATTGACATACGTTGCATGCCACTTTTCGCGCGCGAAGCGCGCGCCGCCGAATTATCTCTGATATTGGGATACGAAACATGTATCAATAATATTACTATTAGGTAATACACCCAATTTGTACGTGGCACGTGTAGTGTATTGATGTGTACACGAGTATAGTTTACCTTTGCTGATAATTTCTTGAATTACAGATACAAGTTAAGTTCTACGGCAATTGAACTGAATTTCAAGTGTTTCCCGTATTTGATGCATAATTGATCAATATTATTATCATGAAGATTGAAGTGAGCTGATTGGAGCTTATAGTTATACTTAAATTTATAGTAAATGTGAAATGGAAATCTAGCGTCCGCCAAAACGAAACAACGGGCGCAATTCTTGTTTATGTGTGGCCCAGATGAATTCTTTCTGATTGTGAAGCTCTCGTGAAATCTTCTTCAATTAGTCTAGAAAACTAGAAAACTAATTTTTTTTTTCCTTCGATCTCTCCTCCATAACCAATCTAGTTTTACCTTTAAAAGTTTAAACAAACAAATACTCAGTTTAACAAACATGCTCACCCCTCAATTATCAGGTCAGAGCTGTTGAAGAGCCCAAAGAGACGGTCCAAAAACCTCAAGATAGTTTTACCTATGATTCTTATCTCAGTGGCTTTCCTCCTCTGCTTCATGCCTACCGTTATCGTCGGTTGGTGCAATTGATAATCAAATTAATTGTAGTTGTATTTAATTAATTGTTTAATAAACCTATCTAGTTATTCTACAGTAACATCATTCCCCGTTCATAGATTTCCTTCGCTTTTCTTCGTTGCTAATAATCTCTGTTTCCAGGTTTTGCTAATAATCTCTGTTTCCATAGCTACACTACTAGTTACCATAGTTACCTAGTGATATTTCCAGGTTTTGACATCACCATCAATCCTGGAACTGAGAACGGACAACCAAGACTGAAGATGATCGAATACTTTATCATTCACCTTTTATTATTGGGTACGTACTACGTATAGTACATTTAGTTTTTTAAGTATACTGTTCGATTTCCAAGCCTTTCAAAGGATCTTTGCCTAAGTGGTTATAATCATGTTTGGAATAACTTATGGACCTGTTTGACCTTTTAAAATGTGTAATATAAACTAAAGTGAATTTCAGTGTTCACCTGCGCGAGCCCACTGCTTTTGACTCTGTTTTGTAGACGTTTTAGGGCTGGCTTAGCTGAAATTTTGTACGAGTGAGTCCAAGCGATGTTATGAACTGAGGGGAAATCTTTTCTCGTGTGCCACATGTATTCTTGAGGGGGATTTAGCAGTCTTTTTGGGGATTTCTCTTTATTGTTTCACAACGGTCCAATGTTCAGGGCTTTCATGAACTCACGACATTCACTGGAAAGAAATGTATTTTGCTATCAGATCGATATTATTTTTTATAACATGTACGTAGTCAGTAGCTTGCTTACGTCTCAGTCCTTCGAGCTCATGTTTACGCGCCAAATAATTATTATTAATAATTATTATCAATAAACTCTGAAACTACTCATTAACTTATTAGTTATTCATTGACTTATTCATTACTCAACACTATTCAGTTAATAACTCATTAAAATATTCACAAACTTACAATTTATTATCACCACATCTCTCCCAGGTAACAGTGCAATGAATCCGCTCATTTTCACCATGTGCAGCACTAAGTTCCGAGCCAGTGGTATCCTGGTCGTCAAGCTGCTGTTTGACCAGCTGGTGTTGATACTGTTCTACGCGGTTTACGTCATCTACTACGCTGTTGTTACCTTCTTCAAGGCCATCTGGAACTACTTAACAGATCTGGCCACTTCTCTGGGTTCCTGCAATGCCCGGTGTATTAAGTCAGTTGGAAAGTACGATTCTCTGAACGATGTAGTGATTAAAGTTACCCTGACAAACAGTAACGAGATGAATGGAGGAGAAAAAGTTAGAGGAGGAGAAAAAGTTAGAGGAGGAGAGAAAGTTAGAGGGAAGAACAATAATAAGGAGGAGGATTGTTGTGAAGGCGACTTGTGGGGAGTCAACCCAGGTTGTCATGGCGATCGTCAGGGTTGCCATGGTGACCGCCAGGGTTGTCATGGTGACCGCCAGGGTTGTCATGGTGACCGTCAGGGTTGTCATGGTGACCGTCAGGGTTGTCATGGTGACCGCCAGGGTTGTCATGGTGACCGCCAGGGTTGTCATAGTGACCGCCATGGCCAGGGTGGTTGTAGTGGAAAGCTACATGGTCCTAGACAAACTCATATGCGGTCTCCTAGTGACACTGATAATTATAAAGAAAGTCAGAATAAAAATATAATTACTCCCGATAACAGGACTTCAGAAACTATGTTATAACTAATCATCATTACAATTGTAATATAATGATAATAATTTGATTTGCTTTTTATTGCCAGATGTTTATTGGCATGTTTCTCGACACGATGGTGACCCCGAAAACATAAATTGATAGGGCCGCGTTGCGGAACAATGGACAAGCTTTATATTCAATCGTGATGATAGTTACACAAGTGAGACATGTGTTCTTTTCTCCCATTTTGGCCTTGATATAGGTTTATTGATACATATTTGGGGTCATTTCTTCAACTGATGGGGAAGTATAAAACTTGTATGACTATCTACCTGTTTAAATATATATCGCACCAAACAGAATGATTTTTAGACAATATTGAACGAAATTATGTGTGCTGGTTGATGATGTTGATAAAAAATATACGTGCTCATAAGCGACTATTGCTGACGGTAGTAAACAGAAAAAGTTGTTGCAGTGTTAATGTGTGAATTTAGGAAATTTTATTTTATGTTGTTAGGTATTTGAATAAGTTGAAAAACCAAGAATTTATCCTGTGATACGTGGAATTTATCTATAACTATAAGTAAAAGAGAAAGAAACACCGTTGTATAACTATACGTATACAGATACTGTCGTTGAAATGCCATGGCAAGTTATTATTCGTGGCAAGTATTTATTCTCAATAATTATTATAAATAATTGTCATTCGTACTTGGCTGTGCTGAAAATGAAATTATAGTGGAAGCTATACTTAGGTTTTAAAAAATATTTATATTTTTGTTTACTTTTATTTGCTTTTAATTTAGTGTTTGATGTCATTAATATTAGTATTACTTTGTTCGTCAGACCAACCCATCATCCCATCGAAAGTGCAGGACGGTGGAGGGGGTGCATGCGACGCCGTACAGGCAGAACAACACTTTGCTTGCCTAGCATGCTAGTCTATTGCTTGCTTCTCTACTGAAAATGAGGCAAAAGATGTTGTTTTGAGCTGTAACATGATGTCTGATAATTGGATAGGCTCAAACCCTACCGGCTGTGGTCTACAGTGGGGTGACATATGTTTTCGTCACTTCTGAATGCGCGCATTTTAGCGCGCGAGTTTGCGTGCACGTCACGTGATATTGTTAGCAGTGAGTGTAATCACGAGTCTGGAGAATTTGTCTAGTACAAGGCCCAGACCCTTTGGCGTATCTGTAGTAAATTTTGTGGCGATGTAATATCTATGACACCACTAATAATTGAGGAATAGGGAAGTGTTCACAATATCCAACTTAACATGGTAAACTTATGCTATCTCTGGCTGAAGATTAACAACTCTAACAGTATTTATTTTAATCAACTGAGAAACATTTGGTCTTGTTACCTCATCAATACCTAACGCTGTTTGTATTGTCATTATCAGAACCAACTTTATCGTGAATCTCTAACTTATCGTGAATCTCCAACTTTATCGTGAATCTCTAAGTGCCGGACTCTGTAAATCTACAAACAAAACGCTACGAAAACCATACATGACAGCAAAGCTTAATCTAGACTCTAGATACTATGATCATCTTATCAGAAATCCAACTGATAAGCAGACTATACACGGTAATCTAACCTCCGATTTTTGCATGCTGCTGGAAAAAGCCGAACAGACGCTTGACGAATACAAGGAGGTGATAAGGAGCTCTAGTTCTCTCGTCGCTAGGAACTCTACTCCCAACACTACTTCGGATCCCTCAACCTTCGTCACAGGTTCGCCAGCCGGACACGAGGAAGTACTAGAAGCTACTCCGGTAAGAAGTTTGCGATCAAAGTTTGAGTTTGAAACGCATAATGTTTGTGATGGACTGGACTTTCAACGCATAGGATCACGTGACGTCTCTTACTTCGGCTCCAGTAAATACAGTTACGGCAGTATTACCCATCGCGCTAAGGCCTACCCACCATCTGATCACGCTGTAAATAAAATACTAGACTGTATAGCTGACGAACTAGACGATCCCACCTTCAATAGGGATAACGTTACTTGCATGGTCACTAGATACCAGACAGGCTCAGACTCTATCCCGTTTCACTCTGATAATGAAACAGGCTTAACGGGTGAAATCATCACTGCCAGCTTTGGGGCCACTCGCACCTTAACTTTCCGTAACATAGTCACTGATGAGCGACGTGAACACGAACTAAGGAATGGCACAGTGTATGCAATGACCACAGAGTCTCAGTTTTTCTGGGAGCATGCGATACACCCCGAACCTGGCGTCACCTCGTGTCGTGTGTCAGTGACCTTTAGACGCATAGACAAGCCCATGCGCAGGCACATTCCTAAAATCCATGAACCGTCAATAGCACCATCCGACCCCCTGAGACCCTCCAAACAGACTGTCCTATACCTTACTGACTCCATGATACGTAACACCCCATCATCTTTCCCCTCTAACTTTCGTGTCATAAAGCGTGACATGTATCAACTCACGGACTTAAAGAAGTTTGAAAATTTTTTTGAAAACTGCGATTATGTGATTATATCTTCCGGTATTAATGATTTGTCGAGATATGACCATAGAAGCTATACACTTTCCCGTGAAATTAGGGACAACTTTAACTACTTGTTTGCTAGATACCCAAAAACAGTGTTTGTTTTCAACTCCCTTCTTAGAACGAGATTTGCATGGTTAAATAAGGAGGTTGATTTGTTTAACCGCTGCATGTTTGACTTTAGTCTGATCGAAAATCGTAACTTTTGGTTTTTCGACTCCCACCATATTTGTAGTGTGATATTTAACAAAGGGTTTGAGATTTTAGATAGATCTGGAAATGGGATTCACATTACTCAGCTGCCCAAGAGTGAGATAGCTAACTGTCTGGTGACCGGTGTTCAAAAACTCTCTATGCGAAGCGAGAAAGTTCGAAAGCACTGGCCATTAAGGCGGGAGTTTGTCTCGCTCTTGCCTGGTAACTAACGGTTAAATACAAACTCACAAAGCCGTACCCCAGCCTACTACTTATACTTGCCGCGCCAAAATTTTCGCAAAATTTTTACAAAATCTTTAAGGGATTATAGCTTACATCTTATGGTTATAATGAAAACCCTCGCATAAAAATATATAGTCATGCCCGTGCTCTTATCAGCTTATCGTAAGTTACTAGAATTGTTGCCCGAGTTTTTTAAACACTTTAGAATAGTTCTGAAATCAGTACCGCTATCGTAATATTGTAATATTGTAGACTACGTTACGATTCTATCTACACACAGAGCTGTATAGTTCTTGATAGGTAGGTCTAACAAGTTTTCTTTTTCTTCTTTACGCTTTCTCAGCACACAGTTTATTCCTCATTCATTCACACGCACACACATTAGCATTTTATACATATTCTTAGACTGTACAAGCTATTCTATACACCATACTATACACTCTTATCTATTTAATATCTTACTTAATTATTCACAGATATCTGGTATTTACACATCTTGAACAATGGTTGAACCTAGTTTCAAATCACAATGCTCAAGCTGCTTCGGGTGGTCTTATGCTCCTAGAAATGTTTTCATTTGTCCTGTATGTGACAAACCAGTTCATAAAAAATGCCTCAAAGATTATCTTGGTTGTATTACATGCTGTCAAAACCTAATACCTGGCTATAGAGTAACTTCCTACGAACTTAATGATAATTACAATACAATAACCCCCACTTTTAACCCCTATATTCGTTCTCACGTACTGAATCAAATAGGCGAACTTACTGATGAAATAGATTCCAGCGAAATCGATCTCAACAATTGTATATCGGAGATATTGGTTAGCTGTAAGTACCAACACCCTGATAATATCAAGACCCCTAGCAATCGCGAATTTAAGATACTTTCGTTAAACGTTAGATCACTCGTGAAGAATATCTCAAATTTTAGAGAAGAAATAGAAACATTCTCCAAATTTGACCTCATCTGCCTCAATGAAACCAACTGTAAAATTTCTAATCTTCCTAATGGTCTGAACGACATTGAAATCGAACAGTTTTACGAGCCCTTTATCAAAGAACCTGCACGTAAATCTGGAAAAGGAGGTGGTCTTGCGCTCTATGTTAACAAACACGTTTGTGATTACGATAAAATACAGGAACTCGAACTCAATCTGAGTCCAGAAGAAGTTACTTGCGGAGAATTTCAATTGCTTAAAATCAACAATTTTAAAAACGGAAATAAGACAAAAATCATCGTAAATTTCTACCGCTCGCCATCCACAAGCCCTAAAAAATTCCTTGAAAAGTTTGAAAACGTGCTCAGGGGTCTTGATAGACACTCCAGAAAGCAGATAGTCTTCCTGGGTGATGCAAATATTGATCTTATAAAATACGATACCGACGCTTACAGCCAGGATCTTATAAGCTTACTAGAAAAATATGGGTTTGCCCAGACTGTCTCCAAGCCTACCAGGGTAACTGACCACAGTGCAACGCTTATTGATCACGTGTATACTAATCACGTGACCAACGTTATTAGTTGTAATGTCGTGACGTTGGATATGTCAGATCATCTCGCGGTTAGCACGACCATTAGTTTAGGAGCCACACCTAGTTTGAACGAGCGATTCCGTAGTCAACGTGTAAAGAACAACAACACTAGCTTGAAATTAGAGGCCCGTGTATTTAACGAAGCTAATCATGCGAAATTCAAAGAGCTTATTGTAAGTGAGACCTGGGATGATGCTACCTCCTCAACGTGCGCTGATGAACAATACAATTCCATCTATCAAACGTACATGAAACACTACAATACTGCATACCCCCTGAAGCGCGACAGTTCGAGAAGAAAATTCGAAAGAGCTGACCCAAAGCCTTGGATCTTACCCTGGCTTGAGGCGGCATGCAACCGCAAGAAGTTACTTTTTTTTGAAAAAACTATAAATCCATCACAAAAAAACAGCGACGCGTATGATAAAATGAAAAAGTTTTGTCACAAACATGTGAATCTAGCCAAAGAAAAGTACTATAAAAAAATGTTTGACAAATACCAAAACTGCTCTAAAAGTCAATGGAAAATTATCAATGGCCTCCTGAACCGTAACAGAAAAAAGTTCGGACACACCCGTCTGAAGGACGACGATGGCACGATTATAAGCTCCGATCTGGCAG